GTGCATGCAAGCTAGCTGAAATATGATTGGTTAAAAACTCTACCATAATAAATAAGTTATTTATCGAGTGGCTTTCAATGTTATTTAAAATAACATTGAAAGCCACTCAACTAAGTGGAAATAATATGACGTAAAGAATACAGAGAATAATTTTGTTTACATATTTATGAAAATAAAATAACATAAATTATAAAATAACATAAAATACATAAAAGTAAATTTACTTTTCTGAGAATGTTTAGGCCAGCAGAGAAGGCCTTGCTGGCCCTGAGGGTCCGCCACTGATCACATGTTAGCCTCTGTGAGCCTTTCCTGTCCAATTTTCATCCCCTCCACAGTACTAAAACTGCTATCATAAAATCACCAATGATCTCCAAGTTGACTCTGGTTCACTCGCCATCCTCATCCTCCTAAGAGGATCCTTTGACACCATTTCACACATCTTCCTCCTCAATGGACTTCCCTCCATTGGCATCAGACACACTGCTTCCATTTGTTCCTCAAAGACCGGCCTAAGTTCATCCAGCTAAAATCCTTTTCATCCATCCTCTGACCAGCCAGCTCAGGTGTGCCCCAGGGCTCTATCCCTTGATGCCTGCTTTTCATAATCTAATTCTAACTCCTTCCTCTTGGCGCTATTTTTCATAAATGTAATATCCACTTCCATTGCTTCGTGGATGACGCCCAGCTCTACCTATCCTGTAAACCCTGAGACTCATGTCCACGGTCCATGCTCTTACCTTACCTCCTGCTTATCAGACATTAACTCCTGGTTACCATTTAATTTCATTTAATTAAACCGCAACAAAAAACAACTCTCATAATTGGCACCAAATCTACATGTCCAAAGTTGACAATTTAGCAATCCCATTTTGGGAACTCCTTTGTCTTACCTTCACTTCAGGTTAAGAGTCTGTTTGTCATCATTGACAGCACACTCTCCTTCCACTCTTATATCAAAAGCATAACCCGGCTGCTAACTGACACCTGCGCAACATTGATAGACTTGGCCCCTCCCACACCCACCATTCTACCGCTATCCTGGTCACCAGTCGTGTTACTTCCGTATTGATTATTGCAATTCTCTCCTCTTTGGCCTTCCTCACAAGTCCTAACATAAGCTCCCGACTGGTCCATCATTGTAATGTAATGTAATACTTGTAGGTTGTGCTCCATCCAACCCCGAACAGTCCCAAGCAGTCTGAGATGCACAAAATGTCCGTTTCTAAAGGCTGCTCAGACAGTGACCTGAAGATTAGATTGGCCATCCGCATGGATAAACCCCAGAACATGAAGCATTGTGGGTAAGTAGCTTTGTCAACATCAACGTGGTTTTGTCCTATTGTCATGTTTACTCCTGTCTTTGATTATTTGAATGTTCCATACAATTGTTGTGTTATTATAAACATGAACACATGCAGCCCCTAATGAGACATAAAGAAACAATATTGTTTGCATTCCCTTGTAAAATACTTTTCAGTTCATTGCCATCGAACGCCAAATCTTTATGTGCAGTAAAGTACCACCGGGTGAATTTATGTAAACCACTGTCATGCTGTGGCTTCTGAAGTCACTCTTTTGGTACAGACATCACCCCAGGATGTTACGCCCTTTTGGCGTGAGCAAATGCACTCTTTTGATTTTTTTCTGTCACGTTTAGAACATACACGATCACCTCTTTCCACTTCATCAAATAGCCTGACTCTCCGGGAGTGATCATCTGACTTTTGCAATCATAATGGTACATTAAAGTTTGCATCTGTGACGATGAGACTTGATGTCCAAACAAAGACAGATACTGGATGTTTGAAGCATTGTTGTTATTGCGTTCAATAATACCACAGAGGAGGAAATCATTCATTCATTCATTCAGTCGGGGACAAAATGATAACAGCAAAACCACTCTGGCGTCTATCCACTGTGACTATATCATGATTCTGACCTATGATTGGAAACATACAGCATTTATTCATGTTTTTACATATATCTGCATTGCACCAAGGGTGTCATGGTGACCAACATCTGTTTTTTCTCTAGGTCCTTTGCTTTCCTCCGACATTCCAGAAACATTTACGTCAGGTTAATTGAACATTGTTTGTAGGTGTGAATGTGAATGGTTGTTTGTTGACATGTGTCCTTCAATTACTTGGCAACCAATTCAGGGTGTATCCAGTCTTTCGGCCAAAGTCATTTAGGATAGGCTTTCAACCTTGGTGAGGAAAAGTCATGGATGGAATGCATTGCAAGTACCCAGGGTCATCAGTCATTTCTGTGAGAATGGCGACCCCAAGTGGATGATAACGTTATATACACTCTTATAGACAGTATTTTAAGACTCTCTTACCTTTTGTCACGAGGGAATGCGCTCCCCTGTTGTTGGAAGGGCATTAACACGCAAAACACATTTTACGAGTGTTGAGCAAGGGAACGCATTTTTTTTCTTCCATGTCTCATTAGGTCTCCGGATGAACATGACAAGTAAACATTTGCTGAGATTTGAAGAATGAATGACCAGCTGTTTTTAAGGCATTAAATGATTTGATTCATATGCTTTTTGACTAATGTTTGATTTGGCCTGATGGTGCTGCATTAGTTGCTACTGTGAATGCAATATTTGTTCATTGATGTGTAGTAAAATGCACTGGCATTATTAGCTGGAAATGGTTTTCCTTTCTTTTCGATTCCGGCACTGGCCTTCCTGTGTGGAGTTTGCTGTCCCCGTACCTGTGTTGGTTTCTCTGGGTACTCCAGTTTACTCTCAGATTCCAAAAACCTGCATGCCAGGTTGATTGGGCCCTCCATATTGTCCCAAGGTGTGATTGTGTGCACAAATGGTTTTTCATCTATGTGTGCCCTGCGATTGGCTGGCAACCATTTCACAGGGTGTACCCCAACCGCTGTCTGAAGACGGCTGGGATAGGCTCCAGCATCCCCTTGTGAGGATAAGTGGATCAGAAAATGGATAAATGGATGGCATTGTAAACAAACAAAAAAAAAGTTATTACAGAGCATAATAGAATTTATGAAGATAGATCATTATTTTAGTAGGGCAGCCTGGTGGTCAACTGGTTAGCGCGTTGGCCTCAGTGCACAGGTGCAGTGTTCAATTCCGGCTCCGGCCTTCCAATGTGGAGTTTGCATGTTCTCCCCGTGCCTGTGTGGGTTTTCTCCGGGTGCTCCGGTTTCCTCCTACTTTCCCAAAACATGCATGGCAGGCTGATTAAACACTCTAAATTGTCGCTAGGTGTGAGTGTGAGCGCGGATGGTTGTTTGTCTCTGTGTGCCCTGCGATTGGCTGGCAACCTGTTCAGAGTGCCCCCCGCCTACTGCTCGAAGACAGCTGGGATAGTCTCCAGCACGCCCCGTGACCCTTGTGAGGAAAAGCAGACCCAAAAAATGGATGGATTATTTTCGTGAGATCAATACATTTTACTTTACTGATGTTATTATTAGAGCAATACATACATGAGTCTTTCAGGCTTTTTCTCTGAAAAACGTACAAATCTTTTAACAGGGAGGTCTATTCTCAAATTTTCTTTCCAAGAATATGTTCTTTGCATCCCCGCGAATCTAAAATGTTGATTGTTGTTACCTGAGCCTTGTGCAACTACGATGGCATTTTCAGTAGACAGCAAGTGGCAAAAAAGCTGCCCCCTGAAATAGCTAAAAACGAGTGAACTTCGCTACTGAATTCATACTCCACAACCGCAATATTAATCTGAATGTCGTGTTTCGACTAGCAGAGCTGCATCGAACAGGGGTCCCCAACCTTTTTTGCCCCATGGACCGGTTTGTGACTGACAATATTTTCAGGGACCGGCATTTAAGGTGTGGCAGAAATAATACAACAAAATAATATGGTATGAGCGGCATGAAAACTGTGGTGTTTTCGAAATATAATAATAAACACAAGGAGCGTCTAATCTGGCCGCAACACTCTGATCGCTATGGTAATGTTTAATGCCTTCAAAATACGATACAATGCAAATTCAAAGTGCATGAAAATGACGACTCACCACAGCCCCGAGCTTGATTTTCTGCAACCAGACGGACCCATCTCGGGGTAATAGGAGACAATGACACCTCAAGTGTGTGTTTTATGTCCAGTCTACTTCGTAATTTTGTTTTAGTCGCCGTTGCTGCAGAAAACCCCCGCCTCACACAGGTAGCATGTCGGAAATAGCAACAGTGCTACTGTGGCGATCTCAGAATATTCAGCCATAACTTTCATCCAGTTGTCTCGAACGTACTTTTAAGGCCGCCGTCATTTGCGATCTTACTCATTTTGCGAGCTCTGGCGTTTTGTTTTTAGCGTAATCGGTCACGTGATGGAGAAGCGTGGCTTGACGTGTGTCAAGCGTGACACAGACGGATGTAACGGAGAATCCGGTAATTTTGCAAAATAAAACATCTTTCGTCTTCCGAAATAAATAAAACGGAATTAAGGCAAGTTCTTTCTGTGCGGCCCGGTACCAAATGCCCTGAGGACCGGTACCGGTCCGCGGACTGGCGGTTGGGGACCCCTGGCATGGAACATATTATTGTAAAGAAAAATTTGGGCTTGACTTCCCCTTTAATTAATTAATTTAAACAACAAAACGTATGCAAGAAAAGTGGTTAAGATTGCATGAATGTTCGTGTTTTATATTATGTGTTGTGTTATCTTATTTTGTTGTTTTATATTAAGTTTATGTTGAAGAACCTGCCTTGGGACTACGGCTGAAAACTAGCAGATATGCTAAGTCCGGCACATTTACACTGTTTATTCTTATGTTGATTCATATGCAATGTCCGAATGAAATAAATACATAAATTATTCATTCATTCATTCATTTTCCGAACCACTTTATCCTCACTTGGGTCGCGGGGGGTGCTGGAGCCTATCCCAGCTGTCTTCGGGCAGTAGGAGGGGGACACCCTGAATCGGTTGCCAGCCAATCCCAGGGCACACAGAGACGAACAACCATCCACGCCCACACTCACACCTAGGGACAATTTAGAGTGTTCAATCAGTCTGCCATGCGTGTTTTTGGAATGTTGGAGGAAACCGGAGTACCCGGAGAAAACCAACGCAGGCCCGGGAGAACATGCAAACTCCACACAGGGAGGCCGGAGCTGGAATTGAACCCGGTACCTCTGCACTGTGAAGTCGACATGTTAACCACTGGACTATCGGGCTGCCATACATTAATTAATTAATTAATTAATTAAAAAATTCTGAACAGTTGTGAACATTAAATGTATCCATTGTAAACATTCTTACTTTTAGAGTTTTCGTTTTTCTTCAAATTCAATAACACTGCTGGAGCTGAAAAATAAGTAAATTGATTCCTCAGATGACTGAGTTGTAGTGTGTTTTACTTCGTTTTAGTTTCTTTTTTTTTTTTTTTTTTTTTTTTTTTTGTCTCACTAAATGCTTTTTATCATGAGAGCATGAAATGCAAATGTATATACCGGTAGCATATCAAGTCATCAAGTACATTCGTTTCATGTATTTTGCTGAAGAGAACAGTCTTGTCACAAACGGAAGGTCTGTGGAGGACCTAAGTGCAGGGAGACAAGGAGTGCCTTTTAGGTATACAAAAAAAGAAAAAGAAAAGAAAAAGAAAAAAGAAGGAAAGAATGTTTTAATGTACGAGGAGGCCGCCACACTTCACGAGCCTCTTTTGAGTCACCTCGCAGATGCTGTTTTATTCAGACCGACAAGCAGAAACAGCTTAGAGAAGGGCCAGGGGGAAAGGCAGACGAAAGCAAGCGCATCAGAGGTTCTCACAGACAGCCTGTGAGCGGCAGCCAACTGGGGTCCTCACCCTCGGATGTTCTTTTAAAATAAAATCCCTCTCGCTCACTTCTCCTGCACTTTCTTAGTGAATCATTCTTATTTTTTCTCATTTATTGTTATTATTATTTTCATCGCGATCTTGTGAAAACTTTTTCAAATTACTCCTTAACAGTGAATCATTCTTATTATTTCTCATTTATATTTATTATTATTATTATTTTCATTGCGATCTTGTGAAAACTTTTTCAAATTACTCCTTAATATCACTAATGTTAGGCTACAGCTTTGATGTCTTCACATTTCCATGCTAATGTGCTGTTCAAATCATAGCCTTTATTTTTTTTCTCCGTGGATTTGTGATCTAACGTTTTCAGTTGTCATTTCCAAGACACATTTGTAGCATATTGTGGGGCAATTGTACAGAAATTATTTAGAGACCCTTTTGTAACTGACAGTGGTATTTGGGTTTGCTTTTTTTCACGGCATGAACATATTTTTGAAAATCTACATGTAAGTAGACACAATTACCACCACTCCTTGTGTCAGCTCAGAAAAACAAATTTGTGGAGCCAAGAAAATCTCGCTGTGGATTTTGTGGCTGCAATAACCCGCTTCAACCAGGTGATGTCCTAGTAGAATACGCGTCGGCCCATTTGCTCTCCAAGCTATGTGGGAGTCCTTCTGTGGCTGTCACAAAACATCAAAGTCACACTCTTACCTTTGCAGGAAGAAAATAGCCAACAAAGTTTAGTTTTAACAGTTACACACGCGCACGCAAACACACACACACAAAGAAAAATGCCCTGTTGGAAATGTCATTAATCATTATGTTTTGTCTAATTTTATGTTCATACGTGATTGTTTTTAACCACACAGGTACCTATGGGCCATTGGCAAAAATGTATGGAAAAGATGGAAGAAACGATTCTTTGTTCTAGTTCAGGTAAGAGCATTGTTGTTGTTTTTTTTTCTCTAAGCCTTGATTCCTACAAAACTTTGTAACTCAAATCAACAATAAAAAAAATAAAAAACAGAAATATTTATTGGGAATAGAAGAATGTACTGTATGTCTGTACGTTTGCATTATTACTACATTACTATGCCGCATTTCAAATAAGTGTAAAATGAAGCAATTAATTCCTAATACAAGTTTATAAAATTCACTTATTTTACTAAAGTCATTTTTTTCAACTTTATTCTTATTTTTCCTGTTTGATGAACAAGGTCTGAAGTTATTAAATTATGAGCTTTGGTTCCTGGTAAGACACAGTGGAGAAGGTTGATCAGCCTTTAACATCTTTTCATCGGAATCGATAAGGCGGCGCAGGAGGGAGGTGCAGCCAAGCTGCCATCCCTCGGCTGTCAAAGGAATGATGGAGAAGCCGAGCAGGCTTTTGTTGAGAGTTTGGGGGCCGAAGAGGCTGGTTGCAGCCATTTCCTGGTGACTGCATCGGGACACGGGTAGCATGCAAGGGTGCGGGGCGGGGGTGGGGGGTGGCTGCCTGTCTCTCGTGCATTGGAGAGAATATGTCTCAGAGCTACACGTTGACAGGGGATTGACAAAGTCGAGTGAACACGAGCTGGCCTAACACTTGGAGCTAGAAAAGCCTGAGCGCTGCCAACTTGAAGCCTCTTGCTTGCTTTGAGCTAAATATATTGCAACTGACAAATACCGGTCAATCGACGACGCACTCAAATGTGTTTGCTCTTACGTATGACCGCGTGCGCATGCAGCAACAGAAAATACGACATTGTGTTTGTGCTTTTCACTGCTTTTTGATTTCACTTGCACTGCAGAACGTGCCTGGCTGTGTGTTTACTGTACATCTTAATTCAAACGTCCTATCAAAGAGATAAGGTGTATCCAGATGATTTGGTCCTTTTTTAGCCTAGATACTGCTGCCTTGCAACAGATGTTGAAGATGTGCTCAAATTCTTTTATTTTCCAAAAGACTTTAAATTCATTTAATTATCATTTAATTATCCAGACTTGTAAATTTGCCAACCTTTCCAAAAAATAAAACGTATGCAGTGTAAACATCAGTCTTTATTAAAGGGAGCTGGAGCCTATCCCAGTTGTCACTGGGCTAGAGAAGTTGTGCACCTTGGACTGGTTGCCTGTCAACTGGAGAGCTCCAAACAGAAAATCCCCCTCAGTTAATCTAATGTGTATGGGGAAAATTTGAGGAACCCCAAGGAAAACATGCAAGCATGGTGATATCATGCAAATATCCCACTGGAAGGCCTGAGCCCAGATTTTAAACCCAAACGCTACAAAATCTGAGGCAGGCATGCGGTCCGAACATCTTGTTCATGTACGTACTGTAATCTGGATAACATACAGTAGAATCCGTCCACAACAAAGAGACTTGAGTCAGCTTTTATGTCATTTTGCAAACCAGGACTACAACATTGGCATCTTGTTGTCATCCATGCAGATCTAATAAAAGAGAGTAGACAAAACTCGATTCACTGAGAAGAGCCTGCCTGAGCCACATCAAATATGGTCGCCTTATCAATGTGGCGGCCATATTGTATTTGACAAATTCCGGTGGAACGCGAGAGCCACTCTGGGTGGAACAGGCGCCAATATCGGTTTTAATGGTAACTCAGTTTAAACATTATTGGCTGAGGGCGGTGGAATCCAGCGCCTTATGGTGCCCAACATTTACAAATTGCACAAGGATCTACTGTGCCTGTCATACTTTTAACGTCGGTGATATTCTCTACACCCAAACTGGAACTACGTCATCGTTTGAGATGCCGGACATAAAGCCATAAATGTTACTCATCAATAACTGTATACTATTTATCCTGCTCATCCACTCTCAATTGTCCTGAGGTGTAATTGTGAGCACGGATGGTTGTTCGTCAATGTGTGCCCTGTTATTGGCTGGCAACCAGTTTAGGGTGTACCCCGCCTACTGCCCGAAGACAGCTGGGATAGGCTCCAGCATGCCTGCGACCCTCGCAGGTATACCAAAAATAATCAGTTTTAAAATTAAATGCAACACTGATCTGAACTTTGAGTTTCAGATGTTCATAACCTGGATTGGATTCGGTCCTCTTTATTTGTGTTTTATTGCTGTCCTCACATTACCTCCTCCTCATCCTCCTTGTTTCGACAGTATTCTTAATCAGAGTCCCCTCCTCAGAGCATTCAGACAGATTACAGATAAAGCTCTGCATGAGACTATGCTGAATGTACTGGCACGCATGTCCACGTGCTTAAGAATGCTTAAAAATACAGTACATTGCTCTTTATTCATTCAACCATTTCATTCAACTAATCAAAGAATTTGTTCCGAAAGTCCCTCGTACGCACTTTTCAAGAATAATGAGGCATTAATCAGTTGTTAAGAACATTCCACAGAATCCTGACACACATTTAAGTGTGTTATGATTGATCAAAATGCTTTACAATTTTCTGTGATTTTACAGTTTTATGTCCTTATAGGATATAAAATATTCTTCTTTATAATGTCTTCATAAACCCCCTGCATAAATGCATAGTCGACCCCAAATTTACTTGGATTCGGGAGATTTTATCATTAACGGAAATACTTTACCAAGGCTCAAGATGTGGGAGTACTCTGGCACGCGTCATCCTTCATCTGTAGTTTCCGATTGTCAGCATCAACCCCCTCATTGCCCCACCCTTAAAAAAAATTATCATCTATAGTTTTCGATCCGGAAAATCTGTCAGGAGCATCCCGCCGCCATACAACAGGATTATGTATTGGGGCACCCACATTTTATCCCACTGCACTGCATGTCAGGAGCCCCTCAGCTATTAACACATGCACATGACACAATTGTTTGTTTCTGTCATTCCAATTCAAACATATGACAGTGGTGGGTCTTTCACCGCCTAAAATGTTTCCTTGCTAGAAAAAAAAGGTCAGCTAACTCTTTGGTGTAACTCCTAACAAACTAAACAAGCTACGATTAAATGCAGCAAAAATCAGTGTTGGTATCGAGTGGAAGAAGTTCAGCAATATTCCACATATCGTTTATGACTCATTGTAGTCATGACAGTGGACAGTATGATTGGAAGGCAGCATATAGCTCTGTTGGGACAGATGGGAGGGATTTGGTGAAACAAACCAATTTGAGGCAAGGGGGTATGCTTTGTTTTTGTTGTTAAAACATTATGTTTTCACAACGTACCGTATGATGTAGACTTTTATTGAATGTTTCAAAAGCATATTGAGTAAAATTTAATATAGGAGCACCGCAAAAATGGGCTACAAATGCCTGTATCCACTTGTTTCTTATATATTCATGTGTGTGTACGGCTTTTTTGGGGTGGAGGCTGGGCGCTGTCATTTAGTCTCAAATTTGCCTTTGTGGTTTCCTAAAGGCCAGAGAACTGCTGTAGAGTCCCTCCATCCTTTACTTTGCCCCAGGTCTCATCAGTGTTGTCGTTTGGAATTTCATTTGGCGCACACACACACGCGCGCACACACACGCGCACACACACACACGCACGCACGCACGCACGCACGCACGCACGCACGCACGCACGCACGCACGCACACACACACACACACACACAC